GGCTTGGGAAAGGATTAAATCTCCTTGACGCGTGTGCGGACATTGCTGCGCAGGCAAGGAACTCGTGTGGAGTTGGAGGATACAGAGGGAGCTGAAGAAGTGCGGCATTAAAGGTTTGATGAGCAAGGTAGGGAAGGGCAGTCCAAGTGCTTGGCGGAGGAGCAGCTGCGGGCATGGTTGGCTGCCGAGGATTTTTGCGGATCTGCTTGGTTAATCTCGCTACTTATGGCTGGCCCTATTCGATTGTAGTGGTAGGTGTCTCATTGCGGACACATTTCGTCTGTCCTTTACGCATTTAATCACCACGTTAAGGTGCTGGACACGAGGGCCCGCGTTTTTAGATGGGGAAAGGGGGACGTTGTAGCAAGCTAAGTTCCAAGCACCTTCTACAACACAAATATTAACTAAAGGCTGATCAATGGGCTAGTCGATTTGTCGGTAGTATTTCTTGTGCTTTGTCGAGTACATTTAGCCTTATACCAGAAGCCATCTTTGCCCATATGTGCTAGGCGCTATGTGCAACTACTTGTGGATGCCGGAAGTGCATTGGGGGTGCATCAACACATAGCCTACATGTTCCTCTGTCTACTGTGGGGAAATTTGAGAGTGGCGGACAAGGGAAGCTATTGGATCATTTGAAAACACTAAACAGCTAGTGATCAATGCCTTTTTGAAGTTGGAGCTGAATATCTTCTTGCCGAGACCTGCACGGGCTCATAGCAGCAACCGTGAATTTCGATCGTCAGAGTGTTTTTTCCAGACTGTTGCAAGGGGAAATGAAGTTCGTGCACTGGCTAATGGGTTAATCACAGCCAACGGATGTGCGTGGAAGAGTTGTATCGAAATATGTAGCGCAGCCAACTCTAACTCAGCATCTCATGTATCCATTGGGAAGGAGGTAATCGACTCTACACTGAATACACATGTAGCACAAAGTTTTTACATGTCTCTCCAAAGGGCTCCCGCCTTCCACTGCTTATCTCTTTCAAAACTTTTTAGAGAGAAGTGAGGGACGGCTAGGGTGCGCGTTGTTGCACCATAAAAGCACTTCCATCAGTCACAAGTAAATGCACATTGCATCTAGCTACAAGGAAACACAATCACGTCATCTCGTATCGAGCTAAGAGCGCTCTGTAATAAACAGGACATACAAGAATACAAACAACCCAGTCAATTCTCTACAAATTCTTTGTGAAAGCTTGCGTAGGTGCTGCTTCGTTCGCGACAACACGGTGGCCGCTTGGCCCCTCTTCAGTCTAACAGTGTCCGAGCGGCAGCAAAACTCGTCGCTGCAACATTTCTTTGGTAGGAGCTGCATAATGCTTTTCCCTTTGGTCTCTCAGGTGCTGTGGAGACTCGTGGGTCACCAGAGCGGCAGAGGAACACAGTAGACACGACAAATTCAAGGATACGGTCTTCTTCGTGCGTCAGCCGCAACACACGGTGTTTTGGTCATAACAGCAACCTTGAGCTTTGATCTTCAGAGTGTTTGTTCCAGAATGTTGCCAAGGGAAGTGAATTTGATGCACTGGCAAATGGGTTGATCGCAATCAGGGGATGTGCGTGGAAGAGCTGTATTGAATCATGTAATGCTACCAACTCTAGCTTACCGTCAGGAGTAACCAGTCAAGCAGTCGCTTTGTAGTCGCTCTGTAGGGTATGTGTGGCAATGTGTAAGAGGTAAAGCGGCAGAGGCACTGGTTATGCAGCATGAACGCGACCGCGCTACTCAGTGTGCTGAAGATATTTGGCACACCGTTTGTGGCTGCCCATAAGAGCTCAATATAAGTAAAGAAGGTGTGTTGAAAAGGTAGGGACTATGAAATACGCGGGTTATAGAGAAAGAAGTTGGCGTTACCCTGAACCGCTCTAGGGGTGTATGCACTGCCATCTCGCCTGTATCGTTAGCAGCCGTTCCAACATATGGAGCGACTTGACCTGTCCCGCGATTTTCTTCTTCCTATCCTTGAGCTTCTGTCCGTGTTTGCATTTAGAAAACACCGTTTCCTTCTTTTTTAGGGCGTAGGGTCGCCTCTTCCGCCCTTCGGGTTACTCCCTATTTGGCATATATCGTGGGCCCCACGGTGAGTGGTGACGGCATGTCCAGTGTCTCAGATTTGCGGCTTGAGATCTGGTTTTTGGACTACAAAAATAGCATACTAGCAGCCTTCAAGTGAGACAGGGCTAGGGACTAAGGCGCGCCGTTTCTCTGTGTCTCTCGTTTAAAACTCTCCATTCCGGGGGGGGCCCCAAGGGGGCCCTCCTTGCTGGCCAAAGAGACGTATGGCATCCTGGTTCTTAAAGTGGCCCGTACACTCGCTTACGTCACATCAGGGCCTCTTGCATGCCCCAGGAGCCCGTCCGCGCTTCCTGAGAGCAGCAACTACATAGACGCAGCCGTTTGTTGCTACAAAGGCTCTGGATTGGAGTGTTGCAAGATGGCATTTCGGGCACTGCTGTCTCATCAGCAGCCGCAGGGATGCAACGCTCCATCGGGGCCCCCCGCCGTATCGGGTTCGCGTAGCAACCCTTTGACATCCTTCTTGACCGCAGCCACGGAGGATCCTCTTCGCACTCAACAGGTAGGATTGATTGCCTTTGCTCGAAAGTTTTGGTGTTTTCGTAGAGCTTCATCTTCCTGGGCCATGGGGGCTGCAGTTCGCAGCTGGCTTTTTTTATAAAAAAAATCACAGATTTGGGCTTTTTATGAGGTGGGAGTCATCTGCTGCGCAGCTTACGGAGGGCTATAACTTGGCTGCGCTTCAAGGGCCCTTAGGAGCACCTTTGGAGGAGCCTTTCATTGTTTCGCAACAAGAGAAGGGTTTCTTGCCGCCTTTTACTGGGGCTGTTGTCGGCGAGCACCACGTTTCGCCCATTGAGAGGGCTGTAGCCGAAGCGGTCACTACTCGAGCTGCGCCTCATGCCACTACGAGTTATGGGAGTAAGCGTCATCGGTTCTCCCCCACAGTTTGGCACCCGATTCATGCAACAGAGAGTTTGAAGCATTTTCGTTCATGACTCGGACGCATGCCGTTGCGGTCAGAAGGGGCTTCAGCGTTTCTTTCGAGTTCTGTGTATAAGTGTGTGTGTATAGAGGTGAATGTATGAATATATATATATATATTTGTATATGGATGTATGTGTATGTGTATACATGTATATCATGTATAAACATATGTATTTGTATGTGCATATATGTGTATAGGTGGATGTATATATGTGTATGTATCTAAATATTTGCATGTATGTGATGTATGCATGCTTGCATGTATGTACTTGCATGTGTCTTGCTGTTGCCGTATGCAGGGGGCATCGATGGGCTGTTGGCTGGAGGAGGAGCAGCAGCAGAAGCAGCAGCAGCAGCAGAGGCCTCAGCAGAGGCTGAGTTGTTGCGAGTGTCGCATTACAAGCGCCCTGTACCCCCTCCCGCTGCAGCAGAAGCAGCAGCAGGGCAGCGCATGCAGCCTCACCAGAGGCATCTGCCAGATGTATGGGCAGCGGAATTTATGAGCCGACTGCAGCGACAGCCTCCACAGCCACGCCAAATGGTGCAACACTTTGGTAACGATAGCGGGGGCCTCGTGCAGGAATGGGCAAATGTAAGAGCCTCGATAGCTTTAATTGTGCTGCGGCTGCTGGTTTTGTTGCTCTATGCTTCGGGAGCTGCCGCTACCAATCTGCGTTTCTTGATATCTCGCTTCTTGATCTCTCGCTTCTTGATCTCTCGCTTCTTTTGCTCGCAGGAATTCAGTTTGCTTTCCCTTGGAGGCGCACCAGAAGCGGAGCATCAGCAGCATCAGCAGCATCAGCAGCAGCAGCAGCAGCAGCAGCAGCAGGGGCCCCCTCCCCGCTTTGCAGGGGCCTTTGAAGCTTCGCAGAGGCTCTTGGGGCCAGGGGGCCCTGCTGCATGGGGGCAGATGTCGGTGCAGCAGTTCCCCTTGCAGATGTTTTTCCCTCAACCGCAGCAGCAATCGCAGCAGCAATCGCAGCAGCAACAGCAGCAGCAATCGCAGCAACAACAGGAGCAGGAAGATGGGGGTCTTGCCCAAGCAGAAGAGCAAGAACCACAAGCTCCTGAAGTGTTTGATCCGGTATGGGTGCTGCTGTCATCATCCCTTGTTGCCGCCTTTCCAAGGTGCATGGCTGCTGTTTTGCCACGTCAGCTGCTCGTGTGAGGCTGTGCGTTTGCCGCGATGCTGCTGACTGTTGTCGGATAGACTGTGGCAAGAGACTTGGTGAGGGGCCTCAAAGCGGTGGGGGGCCCCAAGCTGCTCAACGCCGAGTTCACTCGGTTCGTCGAGGCGCTTGCGGACGGTGGCATTCGATTGGAGAATGGCCAGGTACATATTCTGAGCAGGGTGTGCGCTAGAAGGCATTTACCTGGACTGTTAGGCTGCTGCTTCGCAAAGCTTCCCCCACAGAGGCCGCTTGCAGCTTTCTGTTCCTTAGTTTCTTCCGCCGTTGTTTGCCAGCAGTGCGAAGGAGCGTTGGTAAAGCTTGTCATTAAGGCTCGGGGTGTGTATGTATGTGTATGTATGTATGTGTGTGTGTATGTATGTGTATGTATGTATGTGTATGTATGTATGTGTATGTATGTGTGTGTATGTATGTATGTGTGTGTATGTATGTATGTGTATGTGTACGTGTGTGTGTGTGTCTGTCTGTCTGATTGTCTGTGTGTGGATTTTGCAGCTGCTGACGAACGAGGGTAGGAAGGCCGATTGGGATGAAATTCTCGCCAGCGAGGAGGCTAAAAAAATGGTGGGGGCGTCATTCGAGACAGAGGACGCCTTTGACGAGGCCCCTGAAGCGGCGACCGATTTTGATAAGAGCCTCCGGGAGCTCGAAGAGACGTGGAAAAAGGCGCATGCAAATGTAAACTCTGTCTGACCTAAAAACGCCCGACACCAGTCTAAAAAATAAGCCCCAGATTGCATTCCGCTAGACGGGAATGATCCCTAGCTTCTTATGCAGCAGAGCCGACGCCAAGGGATTTCTCCATTCAAGGCTGAAAAAACGCGATCCCTTCGAAGCGCTCTGCCTCCCTTACACCCCCGCCTGACTTGCGCCTTGCCTTGCGAATGTATGGTACAGGGGGAGATTGATGACGAGGAACTCGGGCTTTTTCAGTCGATCTTCAACTCTAAGGATATGACAGAAATCCTGCAGAAAGATACCCCGGAGCAGATGGGTACGTCATGGATTACCCTACAGCAAGGCGCGCTGGCAGTGGCGGTGCATGCGTTTCAAGGCGTCTGAATTCGTTGCGTGAAAGCATGTTTAAATGTGCGGAGGCTCTGCGCTTTTACTCTGCTGCAGGGGCCATGCTGGAGTCGGCCTCGGGAGGATCCGAAGGTGTGCAAGTTTGCATGCACACGGGGTTTAGGGGCTTTTGCGCTTCTGGGCAAGACTCTGCCCTTGGCTTTCCACGGGAGTTCTTGGGGCGAGGTTCAAAGCATGCGACTGCAGGTCTATGTATACGCCTCAGGGGGGGTGGATAATCTGGTGGAGCCTCCAGTGTACTTTCGTAAGGAAAATCCTTATCTCAAGACGGCTGGGGGTCTGGAGTGTGCACAACGCCTCTTGGCGGAAGGCAAGCTACAGGAGGCGATCTTGGCTCTCGAAGCCGAGGTGCAAAGGCATCCCAACAGCAGCGAAGGCTGGAGGCTTCTCGGCGAGTGTCATGCCGACAACGAGCAGGTCTGTTAACAGCGTGACAAACGCTAGTGGCCCCGGGAAGAGCATTAGAGCAGAGCCTGTGCATTGCTGGTAGAGGCGACAGCACGTGCATGCAAAAACGCTGGTGTCGACGGTAAACTCCAGCGGGAGTTTGCGTCTGCCGCATCGGTGGCTGAGGGTTTAGAGACAGGTGGAATTTTTCTAGCCTTATGTCTGCTTCGCTGGGTACCCCAGGATATCGAGGCCATCCACTGTTTGAAGAGAGGCCACGGCGTTGATCCTTATAACTTGGACAGGTCTGCGCTGTACAGTGCCTCGCATTTTACGGCTTGTCTATCCCCTCTAGCGTCTTGCGATCCCATCTACAATGCAGTTGTACTGGGGAATGTGGCTTGCGTCCCGCCTTGATTTGGCTGCTGCTCCCACGGATTTGCGTCGAGCTGCAGTCTCATGGCATTAGGAGTTTCCCTGACCAACGAGCTGGACGTCTCACAGGCTCTGCTCTATTTACGGACTTGGCTTGCAAACCACGATGACTTCCAAGGTCTGCCCGGTCTGTCTGTAAGTTCCACGCGTATAGGTCGAAGCCTGCATCCTTGGAAGGCGTCGTGCATGCGTTGGTGGGGCACGTCAGGATGTCGTTAGCTTGTCTTGTTGACTCTGAGCTTGCAACTGGACGAGTTCTGCGGCAGCCTTCCATCCAGGCTACGTTGGCTCGGGGGGGGTTTCGATGGGGAGTGCTTGAGGCGCTGGGCTTTGCGGTGGCATTGGGTATTTTGTTCGAAGGAGCGTCCTCCGGACGACTTTCAGCTCCTGAAGTCTGAAGTAGCTTCGTTGTTCGAAGCGGCTCTCAGGCAGCCTCAGGGCTCTGCTGGACGCCTGCACTCTGCCCTGGGGGTGCTGTATAATATTGATAGACACTACGACAAAGCATTATATCATCTCTCGGAAGCCTTGAAATACGCGTGAGCCGGGGGTTAAAGATTGCGGTTTGGGGAGAGATTACGATAGGAAGGCTCCTTACGGGTTGACTGCATGGTGAGGGGGGAAGGGTGCTGCCGTAAGTTGCCTCTCTGTGGATGTGATTGGAAGGGAAAGGGGAGGGGTTCTGCGGACGGTGGCTTGTGGGCTCTGGAGGTGTAGTTGAGGCTATTCAACGCCTTCGGCGTATGGTGCTTTCGGTGTTTAGGAAAAACGATGTAGCGGCGTCCTTATGGAACAAGATTGGCGCTACTCTGGCGAACTCAGGCCGGTCAGCTGCAGCTCTAATTGCATATCAGCAGACCCTAAGCCTCAGACCAAACTACCCCAGGGCGTGGACGAACCTGGGAGTTGCGAAGGCAAACTTGGGTAAGAAGCCGTATAGTCAGAACTCCACACGCAAGCGCCCAAGACCCCTCCGCGAATCCTCTACGATATGTATGGGGGCTGGCTGGATGCATGGAGCTGCTGCTATCAAGGATGTATTCAAGTTCTGGGGTGTGTGGCTCATAGGGGAGATGGAGCAGGCTCTGCAGCATTACTTGGTTGCTCTCGAACTAAATCCGGAAGCTACTCACCTGTGGTATTATATCCGCAGTGCCCTCATCAGCCTCAGTGAGGGAAACTCCTTACTAAAGCACTGATTCCTAGGCCCTAACCCTTGAGTCTGAAGCTTCTGTCATCCTCACACGCCAAAGTGCTCCCCCAGAAGGCTGCTGTAGCTTTTCCTGTTGCTGAAGGACTCAGAGGCTCAGGCCGTTGAGACAAGGCTTCAACGGCCTGCCCACAAACTCAGGTTTAACGGTTTATGGTTTGCTGCAGACCGTTATGACTGGATCAGCTTTACGGAGAACCGCGATTTCCAGGGCTTGCGGAAAGTAGTTCCGGTAAGCGGGGCAGATCTTCACGGCTTGCTTGTTGCCTGCTTGGACTCCTTCTTGTCTGTCCCATGCTTTCCCTGGCATTAGCCCGGCTTTTGAGTTCAGCGTATGCGGTGTTTGCTGCAGCGAGGCGATGCGCCTCCTCTGTCAGCGTTGATTGCACCGGGCGATCCTCGGGCGGCAGAGAATAGTCCGAAGGTTCTAGAACATATTTTTAGCCTGATCCGCTAAATGCCTTATACACTAGGGTTTAGGATATCTGGCTTCCGTCCCTTTCGAGACTGTGAAGCGGCAAAAACCCTTTCATTTTTATGGGTCCTTACGGACTTGCGTCTCTTTTGGGATCGGGCATGGGGTTTGGCGCTTCTGCTGGCTGCGCCGTGGAGCATCTTATTGAGAGCGAAATGGCCTCTCGGAGAATGAAGTAGCACGATAGCATGTGCAATAAGAAGCGAGACGAGGGCTAGCAACAGGGTAAAATTGTTTAAAGCGCAGAAAGGCCAGCAGCGGAAAGGCGAGGCGTAGGAATCCGTATTTATAGAGAGAGAATAGGAACGCATTATTATAGAGCGTTGGAGGTAAAGACCTCACTGGAAGCTGGACTTGAAAAGTGGGGGTGGTGTGCAAGAGGCTAGACAAAAGGAAAGGGGGCCCTTTTCATGTCTAAATTAGCCTTTTTGGCTCTGTATGGGTACTCACCTTAACTAGATCCCACATCAGTGGCCTACCATTTGACGTATTGTTTTTGTGTTTCTACTGCTCGTTCCACGAGGAACTGCGAATTATTGCTTTCCAACGCACTTGGCCTACCAGGTTGTATGCCTGACCCGCTACTTGGCTGCAATGTGCCTGGTGTGAGCAGCACACTAGTTCACTACTTTTAGCTGCAGAGTTGCAACAGGGGGCCTTGTTGCGTCCGTGTCCCCACAAATACCCTTGTGCGCCGTGTAAGACAGGCTCGTCATAATGGGCTGCCAAACAGGATTTCGGCGATCATGGCCTATAATATTAGAGGAGCCTTGAAATTGCATTACTGGGACTAAGGCCGATTTTTTGTGGCTCATTTCTGCAGAGACCACTCGTGTGCACACATTAGGGATTAGCTTGCACGGAGACCAGAATTTTCTACATGAGCGGGATATGATGCACTTTGTCACTCTCTACTGCATTAGTCATATTTAATCAATTAGTGAAAGTTTAACAACTTGGTATGTTGTTTTGTGTGCCTTATTTATTGCAATGCTGTTGGCTCAGCACAGCAAGGCCCAATTGTGTTTGCGTGTGCGCTAGGTGTTATGTGCACCCAGCTATTAATGGCCAGAGTCATTAGGGGGCGCAGCAATGCGCTCTCTGGCTCTTCTCTCTCATATTGTACCGCACTATGATGGTTGCGAGCAGGGACAGAGGGAACGTTTATTGAGAAAAACGCAATTAATCTCCGCAAAGTTTGTATAGAGTCTGGAGTTGAGTGTCTTCCAATTGAATTGAAGTGTCGCAGCTAGTACCACCGCATAGTTCGATGTGGCTGTTTCCTGCTCACTCACTGGCTGTGAATGCAGTGGAATTTCAGGTTTCCCTAGAACAATAAGCTAGTTTTCATCAAGTCCTTTGGAAGTGTATGAACATGATCATCTTTGGCAACAGGCTGGGGGAAAAGCCTCTAGCAGTGGGCGTTGACTGTGGCACGGGGCCTATCGGAACATCTGAAGGAGTCCCGCAGGCTGATTTAAATGCAATAGCTCCCCAGTTTGCAAACCGGCATCACATTCCACGCCCCCAAATGCTCATGGATGCGTAGATGAAGCTATGCCGATGAAAAAACATGGTAGCCGTAACGATGGGAAGGCCCTTGAAGATTTAATCAGCTGCGTGTACCCATATAACTAAAAAATATTAGCGCTCTTTGTCGCACATCTATTAAAGAGAGAAACATCTCAATGGTGGCTCTATTCGTGGAGAGAAAATCGTTCGCCTGCAGGGAATACTATAATTCCGGCCCTCATAAAAGCGCCACTCGGTTTTCGCCGAGATCAGCTCAGCAGTAAACTTTGCGAAAATCCAAAAAACTAAAGAAGCGTGTCTAGCAACAAATCGGTACATCAATAAATATGAAATGTCGTCTGGTAAAATGTGTAGCGTAAACGAACAGCAGCTTGATCGGTGGTTTATCTCCGGCCAACCCGAAGCGTTATGTCGAATGTTTGGAGGGTCGACAGACTTCGTGATTGAGCATCCGGCCGCTGGCGCCTGCACAAGTGCTAGAGCACTCCAAGTTTCAGGACCACATGAATGTAACTCCTATGTATTGGGCCAAAAAGGAATAGCCAAGTTGGGATCTACAACCCACGGACGGCGGAGCTGTGTAACTATAGCCCACAGTCTAGGGTGAACGAAAAAGGAAAGCCAGAGGGCACGACGCTCCTAAGCAGCCCCATACAGCCCCCAAATCAGCCACCCGCTTTTTGGTTTGGTGTTTGGGCCGAAAAAAATTCCCGTTCTGCAGGCGCGTGCAAACGCCTAAAAATCGTAAGCCAAGGGCCTGGATACACCAGAAGCAGACTTCTTAACGAGCAAAGAAGCTACGCTGTGAACGCGGGAAGGCCAACGCAGGCTACAGCGCAGTAAAGGGCGCTACAGAGGATCGGCATGCAGTTAAGAATACACCACGGATCAATTCTGCGCTGACACAAGGTCACAATATTGGTCAGGGATTGCCAGCTGTTATTGCAGCTGGACATGAAGTGAGTTTGTTATTCGGGGAGACGGCACAAAAGTAGACTATGACATTCCATTTGTGAGCGTTGTCTCCAAAACTGACAGTTTTGACGGGCGGCAGAACGTAAGGATTGGCAAAGCTACTGCAGTTCAAATCCGATTTGACTTGGAATCGGGGCCTATCTTCGTGGCCCGTGACTCCTATTTAGGACCAGGAAGCCATGAGCCCATAAATGCTACAGGGGCTTCCCAACAGTACGCGCGCATGTGGCCACAGTCGCGTCCTGTAAAGGCTATTGTGCCAGGACGCTCTCGGAAGATGCAGCACCTGATATCCTGAACAACTCCTGTTTGGTGCCTTTGCGAAGTGAGACAAAGTCCTGATGAGGGTCGCTCAGCACAGTAATAGAATACGGTTTTTAACATGCATTCCCTCTCGGCTGCTCTGCAATTTTTTTTATTGAGGAACTTGGTAAAGGATTTAGTCGAGGAACAGCAGGAATACGCAAGTATCAAGAAGCTCGCGGATGTGCGAAATAAAGATGGGCTGCCAGTAAGTTGCCTACTTGCTCCTCGCTCAGCTCACTGGAAAGAGCTGATCCTTGGTTCAATCCCAAACTGTATTTCGTAATATCGGAAATCTCTACAGCAAAAAGTGGAGAGTAATCCTGAAAATCGACTCGCGCCTTTTAACATAACCAGGTGATGACACTAGAAAAGTGGAAGCTGGGGCGTGTTTGCTACCTTTCATCCCTTGAACAAGTTCACCATAAAAAAGCAGCGTTCGATGCATCATGCTGGCGAATCGCTTGATACTTACAAGGATCGACAGTCTACACTGTGTTCGACCTCACAGAAGCTTTCTTGCTAATCCCCATTCACCCTGATGACGGGCACAAAAATGCCTTTTCACGAGAGCACTCTCAAACTGGAGTACTTCTGTGCGCTGCCTGGACTTGTCAATGCCTTAGCAAAATTGCAGTGGCAAGTAAGCTGAGTTGGATTCATGGAAGAGCAATGGCGGGCTGTCTAAAAGGAGGATACTTTGACCGCCTAGCCCAAACGTTCAAGAGCATGAACAGCACCATCAGCATGCGTTATTGCTGGTGTGGAAGAGATAGTGATATGACAAGGCGCACAGGTGTTCGCTTTTTTATTAGCACAATTGTGTTTTAGGTAGTTGTGCTGTGTATGCAGGGACCGAATCAGCTTCGGCAAAAATGAAGCAATAATGGCTTGGTCTTTCCCTTTACGCACCGATACAAATGGTGAGAAGCTCTGAAGGCCAACACCTTCCTGGAGAAAATTCATTCTTACAGTTGCTCGAATCGTAGCTCCTTCGACAAACTTATTGAGGAACGCGCAGTCTTCGATCAACACGGAGGAGACTGATGCCGCAGCAAAGACGCATACTGGCCGTCTTCTAAATCCGGGATTCTTGCTGCCCCCGTTCCGAGTGTCACTGCTCCCTTACAGCTGATACCAGAGACGTATCGGTGGATGGTATTCTCTACCAACAAGCTTCTCAGTCTTTGAAGCATGGGCGTGTTTCATGTTTTTCTTAGCTATCAATCGAAACTGAGCAAGGATGCTTATTGCGGGAAAAGGCACTGCGCGCATTGTGGTGGGGCGTAAAGAAAATGGAAGCGTTCTATACTTGGTATCATCTTACTTTCCAGACCAGCCACAAGTTTTCAAAGCACCTTCAACAACGAGAAAGTTTAGGGTTTCGATTATCCTGGAGTTGTTTGATAGCTTGGCTGTCTCCTGCAGTAAGGCTATACATTAAAGGAAGGGCAACACCAACGTAGTCGCCAATAAGGTCTCGTGACGCTACAGCACTTGACCATTGTGCATCACAGGCGCTTTTGTCTGTGGTGATTCACGTGTTGCATCGAAATTACTTGGGTGCTACGCTTTTGACACCTGCTTCCATGGACTCGGTGCTATTGCCAAAGTCCACAATGGCAGTAGGGCGAATTATCACCACGCAGAAGATGAAATCCTGTGGTGCAACATAATGAGGACATTCCGCTGCTCGTAGATCGACTTTATTGCACAGTTCTATGTTCCGCAAACCACGCCATCATGCTCTTTAGTGGCCATGGTGAGATTCATATCACTGTTAAACCTCTCACAGTCCTTCAGGTGTCCTGGGATGCGTCTTACGGCAAAGAAATACGCACTGCAATGACCAGACTGTCCGCAATTGAAGCTCCGACATTCTCCTTCTTTAGGACTCATGCACAGGATATAATTACTCGAAAGGATTTTAACTGCCCTGACTATGTAAAGTTTTGCTGGATTAACACAGATCAAGGGTTATGAAGCATCTATGTCACTTTTGACGAACTCAGCAAACACGCATTTTGCATCCCGTGGTCCGAATCCATCGCGGGTCACAAAGCCGCTCAATTATTTTGAACTCATCTTTGAAAGGTCAATTGATACTCCCGGTGTTATAATGGATGGGCATCCGAACTAATTTGGTGTGTACTAAAGTGCCTTTGTGACCC